TCAAAAATTTTACTTAGTAGGCCAATCATATAATGCTGCACTATGATAGTAAATCATTTAGTATGAAACACCCCAATATGAGGCAATGCAGGTTCGGAGATATTTAATAGTTCCGAAATACCTTCCATACTATCCATTTCGAACGAAGGGTTTAATTGTGTGCCCTCATATACCAATAAATCATTTTCATATAGATTGCGATTAACAGAATTAACAAAATTATTATATCTAATATCATAAGTGTATGAATTCAAAAATGGCATTAAATTAATATAGTGTGTTAATTCAGTATTTCCTGTATCGAATACTTCGTGTTCATTCGGAGTAACCAAAGATTGATACGAAAAATCCGCCGGCATTAGAATTCACCAAACTTTGAATTCCATAATAAACAGATTCTTCGTATCCATCCTGAAATATCAAAGGGTGATATGAAATATTTGCCGGTGGTATAGGTTCTTCTAAGCTGCTGGACTCATTTTTTAAGTGGTCATTAATAGCATCGTTAGCCACACTCTCACTATAGGTTGACTCTTCAGCGTGACGAATTTCTTCGTAAGTCTTTTTTTCATAATAGCTTTGTTGTTTAATTACTTTTTTGCTAGAACCAACATCAGAACTAGTAAACGGATTCTGCTTCTTAGAAGTCCTATATTCATTTATTCTATTTGTATATTTTGAGAACTCATTTCTAAACGTATATGGTAATTCTTTCCAGATATTAGATGATAGGTTTGAAATATTCTTATTTTTAGCACGCTGATTATTTCCTTCAATACTGCCTTGTAAACATTCTTGTATATATGCACGAAATAAAAAAAAAACGGATATATGGTTTTTTTTTGTATGTCCTTTTGAAATATCAGTCTCAGGTGGTGGAAATTTTATAGTATATCCAACATTTTGATACTCAAAACTAATTGATAGAGTTTTGGTATCGCTATCTAAATATTTAAACTGAACAATAGTATTGTCTGTCATTAATGATTGGTTTATTGAATAAAAATGTCGTAAAAGGCATAATAGCACAAAATTACCTACAATATTTATTTAAATAAATAAATCGAGGATATAGGTGTTATTAAGTAACTAATAACTATAGAGCACGATGAACATCTTTTGCTTTTTTGAAACTTACCTAAATTTCTTAAATTGCATAGATCCACTATGACGACGGACCGTTATGAACATTCAGGTTCATCAATGGAATAGCTAGAACTCAGTTCCATGTACAGTTTAGAACCGGTTATGAACCGATTATGAACCACGCCAAAACCTTAAAAAAAGCTCTTTACACGTGACATATTCACGTGTTTGTGATAATAGCCGATTCCAATCCTTACTGCTACGGACATGACATTGGCACAAAAAGGATGAAACAATGTCAATGGCACGAAAAAAAGCATCTAAATGGTATCTGAAATCAGTGTTGTCAATGGCCAAGGACAAAGACGCCCATGGACATGGACATATAAAAATATGGATGTCCATATCCATGAACATATAAAAATATGTCCATGTTAGAGGTGCAGGTGAATCGTCCCAATGATGCCGTAACTATATTAAATAATAATAAAAAGTTACGACAAATATACCGTAACTTTTTATAATTATTTAATATAGTAAAATTACGGCATGATTCACCTGCACCTCTAGTCCATGTCCATATCCATGGACATTGGACATTGTGTCCATGGACTGTCCATGTCCAATAATTTGCTTGGACATATGTCCATGTACAACACTGTCTGAAATATGCTGAAGGTGGCAATTCGAATGAGTTCAGAAAATCATCTCTGATGTGACCGGAGAGAATTCCTCAAGAAAAGAGCATAGAACTTTGCGATAATATCAAAAGATGGAGAATGTAGTCTTTTCATACTAGTCAACGATCTTTAAGTGCTGCAGCATTTGGCGTGAAAATATATAGCAAAACATTTGGAGGTTTGACTGCAGGAGAATTTTTGAAGCTATTAAAACTTGTTCTTGAAGCTTATTTAAACATACTTCGAGTTCCAGAACCTAATTAAAAAATAGTTCAGTTAAGACCAGCTATTAGTTAAAACAGATGCTCTTAAATCTTTCCCAAAGCTCACCAAGACTATTAAGGCGTTTTGGGTTTATTTATTCAGAAAGAACCCAAGCGTTCATTTCTTTCCGTAAGAACCCAAACGTTCATTTCTTTCCGTAAGAACCCAAGCGTTCATTTCTTTTCGTAAGAACCCAAGCGTTCATTTCTTTCATAAGACTGTGAAAACTATTGAAATAACGATGTTTACAGAAATTCTTCAGGCTTGGAATAAATTTTCATAAAAAAAAAAAAAAAAAGCGAAACAAATGTTTATTAAAATCTTTTGCGTTACAAAAGATACTGAAAATTCTGCAAGTTCTGCTGTGTACAATATATATGGAAATTTGATACCTTTTTTGTATTTTGTAACACTAACAAATGTCGATTCACATACTTTTTTATTCTATATATATAGAATTAATGTAAAACAATTTGGTTGTAAGAAAAATTAATAGACGATTAGCTTGCAAATTCTGCATTGAAAAAAAAATTAAATGCGATGGTTCCAGGCCATTTAACGTTAATAAATACCTTTATAGCCGCGTGCCTATAAGCCAATGAGTGTTTAATATAATATGTAGTTGTAGCAGGACCCTGGACAATTATATTTGATCTGGTATGTATGAAATGAGGTAGATTTTTTAAAAAAAATTTAAATGGTGGTATGTAAAAATTGGGTTTTTGGGAAAAATGTGAGGGGTAAAATGAGGTAAATAAAAAAATAGTAGTAGGATTTTTTATAGGTATGTAAATTTTTACAATTTTTAAAGTAGTATAATATAATTGGGGTAAATTATTATATTATTAAATAGTTATCTGACAAACTCATATGATCATAAAAACCTTCTTTCTGTTATTTTTTTTCATGTGTTATGATGTAATTATGTTTTTTCAATATTTAAAAACTAGCTAATTATTATAGAGAAATTTATAAATAAGGGCCAGAAAGTGAAAATAATAACAAATACAGGCCCAAATTAAAAATAAGTACATATAAGGGCTTAATTTTTAAAAAATATTTATAAAGGCCCAAAATAACCACACTTTTGCAGTAATGTGACATGGTGTATAGAAAATAACCAATCGGAATTTGTAAATTTCAATCGTCTCGGATCAGTCTGAAGTCAAAACAAAACACGTATGCAAGAAGAAAAAAAGAGAAAAAAGCAAAAATACTCAAAAACTGGTGTTTAAATCGGCCTTTAAACACTAACAAAAAGTGTCGGAAATGCAATTTTATAAAACTAAAAACTCTAACACAAATCCAATACAAACCTGAACCCAAACCCTAAATTTAAAGCAAAAAATATGCCATACCACATGATGGTTATGTTACTGCAAAAGTGTCTAAACCCTTGGAGGGGCCCAAAATAACTGCAATGCTATTTATGTCTGTGGCTTAATCATTTTTGTAAAAAATATAAACATCGTATTGTTACAAGTGGGGTAGCCTTCTTAATTTACCATCTGCAACATAGTACATAGCAACAGGAATCTCTAAAATAACAGGGCAAGATATGAAGTGGTGTGGAAGTGGAATGTTTCCTCCTCACTAGGGCAGTTTTGTATATTTATTACATCAGCAAAAATAAATAGGCATAAACCTCCGGAAGTTTTTACACGAGCATAAACTTACGAAAATTTACGATTAGTTCGGAGTATTACGTAGATGTAATAATTACGAAAGTTTACGCTATAGTAACT